ATGAACTATCTTTTTCATGGAGGGGAGGAGGAAGTAATGTGTTAAAAAAAAATCCAAGAGAAGTAAAAACCTGCAACAGATTTCAGAGGGAAGGGATTAGGTTAGAAATCATTTCTGGATATGCTAGGCTTTTCATTTACCTTAAGGTCATCCTGGGAAGGTCAAACTCAAATTTTAATTGAGTTATTAACTTTACATGCCAGAGGATAATCTCCAATGCGGGGGGAAAATTTTTTAAATTTTGTGTGAATAATAAATATTTGTATACCTAACCCTGAATTGTACCCCAAATCTTAAAAATAAAAAATTTATTAGTTAAAAGTAAATAAATAATTAAATAAATAAATTCAAGGGCTATGAAAAGATATTTGTACGTGAAGGAGAAGCTACTGAAAGACTTATTCGTGTTTATAAAGAGGAAGGTTTTTCTTTTCCTAGATCCCACGATTGTGTTTCATATCTCTTTTCTAAAATACTTTGAAGTTTAATTTAAAGATTTTACTGCTGGATAGGAATCCCACTGTGCAAAAAGTGGATTTGGATATATGAATTAGCCATAAGGTATTGGAAGAGTTAGGAAAATTATTTTAATACAATTTAAATGAAGGTGGGACAGAAATGTGGTAGTATCACATTTAAGGTGATTTTAAAAATTTAAGAAAATTACCCTCTGCCTAAAAGTTCTTCTCATCAGCTTCTAGAGAATCAATAATTCATTCATTACACTTTGTCTTCAGGATGAACTTAGAAGATTCAGTGTCCAGGAAGGAATAAGATAACCTGCCATGATGGTCCTTTAAGGTCTTATTTATGGCTAGGAAACCAGGAAAGGAAAGGGAGCTAGTGCTGAACCCAAGATAAACTCCTCGTGGCTTTGTCATTTTGCCAAGTGTTGACCTTGCAGAAGAAGCAAAACACTGTCTCAGTCACAGGCACTTTCCAAGTTTCTTGGATCTTCTGTGATAGGATGGAGGGAAAAGATATTTAAGGTCTTGATCAGAATTGATGGGCCAGCCTTTTGGGTACTAAAAAGAGGGTCTCTGCATACAAACCATCCAGTTTTTCAAAGTTTTGCTATAAAAGGGAAATTTCCAAAACCAACGCTGAATGTTTCTTTGCCAGGTTGACAGTAAATGTTTGGGAGGCCTAGGACAACTTGGACATAAAAATGAATGTTCCATTGCTAAAGGTTTATGTGTGGTCCTGAGCACTGCATCAGTACTGTTGAAATGGCTTACCCATCTTATTGCCAGAACTCTTCCTGGGAATCTAGCATCCACAGTATTAGAACATGAAAGCAACTGAGAGATGATGCACTTTACAGATGAGGAAACTAAAGCCCAAAGTTGATAAGGACTTAAAGATCAGAATTGCACAGAGGATGTAGCAAGGGCTTTGGAATAAGGTAGACTTGGATCTCCCACTTAGTAGCTATGTGGATTGGACAAATTAATTAATATTTGTGAGCTGTTATCTCTTCTTCTGTTAAGAGAGTTCTTAGTAAAGTAGTGTCTATAATATAGTGTCGATTCAAAGAATCAACTCATAACCTATCCAGTGTTATTTGCTGGCTTTTGAATAAGACATAATTCACATAACATAGAATTCACCATTTTAAAGGGTGCCTTTTAGTCAATTTTAGTAATTGTGTTGTGCTGTCAGCACGATTTAATTTCAGAACATTTCCTTCAACCCTAAAAATCCTGTACCTTTTAGTAAGTAGTCCAATTCACCTCTCCCCAACCCCTGACAACCACTGATCATTCTGTCTCTCTGGATTTGCCTCTTCTGGGCCTGTCATAGAATAGAATTTACTATATGTGATCTTGTGGTCTGGCCTCTTCACTTTGCATAATATTTCCAAGTTTCGCCCATGTTGTAGCCTATAATTCATTCTTTATATTGCCAATAATACTCTGTTATATGAATGTATCAAAATTTGTTTATACATTTATCAGTTAATGGATTTGTGTAATTATCATTGTGTTACATGGTTGGGCCAAAGCCAGAATGAAGTTTGGTTGTCCAACTCTGTATCTGGCCCTGTTTGTACTATCCTAAATCATTTTTCAAAACATCTGAGCATATGTATGTTTGTACGTATTTTGTTCTTGTTGTTGTTGTTGTTTCACTCTGTCCACAAGGCTGGAATACAGGGGCTGGAATACAGGGGCTGGAATTGCTATTCCAAGGCCAAGAAAATTACAGTTCATGGCAAAATTGACCTCCAAGGCTCAGACCAACTTTATAATCCACCCCAAGTATCTGAAACTACAGGTATATACCACAATATTAGGCTATTTTTTAAAAAATCAAAGTTTTGATGTGTTGTACAGATGGGTCTTGAATCCCTGGGCTCAAGCAATCCACCCACCTTATCATCCCAAAGTGCTGGAATTGTAAGTGTGAGCCACCTGAATTTAGTAGTGTTTTGCTCAAAATCAACCCTACAACCTGGCTACATCCTCTTAGGATTTTCTACCTTTCCATGAATTTTCCTAGTATAAAAAATATAGAGAATTCAAATAAATGAAATCTAGTCATTGTAGAAAGCTGTGCTGAGAGCCAGGTTTCTATATCCCTTTGTAAGGTCTTCAAGCCACCTCATCCTATGTTAATTCCTAGAACAACCTGGGGTCTGTATGACAACTTTTATGTTCCTGTTTTGGGGTATGTAATTTTGCCATCAAGATATGTAACCTAGGATCAATGAACATTTCTATTAAGTTGTGTTGATGTGGGAGATGCTTATTTTTGTTCACGTTACTCTATGGGAAAAAATTCAGAATTATTATTCTCTCATTTTGTTAGACAGTCCCTGTCATTGTGTTAACATTTGATCATGAGGAATGGTGGAATAAAAGCCTTTGGCCCATAATTCAGAACTTTTCAAACATAGCTGGTCAACTTTCCTTCTCTCTCTCCTTGCAAACGACCTAAGTGAAAACTTATTAACAGATGAGAGGATGACTTTTAAGACCTGGCCTCCTTCCCACATAATGACTACTCCAGTGCTCAAGTCTGACTTTCTGAGTGTCAAGATAACACAAGGACACCCTAATGTCTGTTGCCCTGAAGTCCTCATTTCTTTAGGGGTTTCTTTGCCCCTACCCCAGGTGCTCTTTTTTTGTGGGGATATGAAGACCCAAGCAGGTCTGATTGGTGGAGGTTTGTTATTGAAACCTGTTGCTTGGAAACCGGGGATGAGCAGAATGTGGCAAGATTGCAGTTGGTGAAGCCATTTCCCTGGACTCATCAGACAGTTGTTGTGTCTCTTGAATTTGGGCAGCATGAGTAGAAGACGGTCCTGCCCTGGCTGTTTTCTTGACTTTCGGTAAGTGTTTTCTTTGCTAAAGCTGTGATGATCTGGTCCTTAATGCCACTTATTACTCATTTCATTGGATGGTCTCTTTTCATGTTATTCTTTAAGATCTGGAGCTATTATCATGTGTCATACTTCACATACGTTATCTTTTTTTCTTTTTTTGAGACCTGTTTTCACTCTGTCTTCCAGGATGGAGTGCAGTGACACGATCGTGTCTCACGGCCCCTCAAACTCTTGGTTAAAGCAATCTACCGGCCTCGGCCTCCCGAGTCGCTGGGACAACAGGCACACACCCCACTTCTGGCTGATTCTTCTATTTTTTGTAGAGAGTGGGGTCTCATTTTGCTGCCCAGGCTGGTTTCAAACTCTTGGCCTCAAGTGACCCTCCTACCTTGGCCTCCAAAAGCGCCTGGATTACATGCTTGAGCCACCATGCTCGGTCTACATGATCTTCTCTCTGTTATTTCCTGCTTCAAAATATTTGGCAGCCCTCAAAGCTACAAAAAAGCAGTTGACCCTGACTCTGCTCTTCTCCATACTGAGCATCCCTTATTCCACCAACTGCTCCTGGTTGACAGTTTCCAACAACCTTGGTCCTGGCCACCTTGTCTGTGTGTTTTCCACTTTATCAGTGTTCCTCTTAATTTGATGCTCAACTGGAAAGGACAATCCATATGTGTTATGACAGCAAGCCAGGACTGTCCCAAATAAGTGAGACTGACACTCATTCAATGTAGCATGCATTTTCCAGAACCTAGTCGGTTGCCTTTTAAAGTCAGCCAGCACCCGCACCCTCTCAATCAGTGAGGAGGCAGAGCCTCCTGTGGTGGTGCCCTGGATGATTTGATCGTAAGATCAGGACCTTGCATTTCCCCCAATCCATTTTATCCATCCTGGGACTTGCAGTTTTATCCCATCTGAATTGTGTGTATGGGAGATGGGAGGCTAGCGATTCTCTTCTTCCTCTTCTTTTTTTACTTTGAGTTTGGATCTCACTTTGTCGCCCAGGCTGGAGTGCAGTGGTTCCTTTCTGGCTCATCTTGCTAAGCTCAGGTGACCCTTCCACCTCATCCCCCTAGTAGCCGGACTACAGGTGTATGCCACCATGCCTGGCATTTATTTATTTATTTATTTAGTAAAGATGAAGTCTTGATCTGATGCCTATGTCAGATTCAAACTCCCAGCCTCAAGCAGTCCTCTCATCTGGGCTTCTGGGAAATACAGGTGTCAGCCACTGCACATCCATGGCACAACCACAGCTAGTCTCACAATTCTAATGCAAGAAATTTGTTGAACGAGTAGGAAAGGGTTTTATTTTTTAATATGCTAGCACTCGTATATTAGCATTAGTTCTGTTTCTAGAAAGACTCTTAACTCCGCATACTATAACAATTAAATCACTAATTTCTAATTCATGGGCATTTTCATGAGCTTGGGAGTTTGGGCATGATTTTTAGCACCAATAATAATACAGATTAAATTGAGTGTTGAGCCTCTTAAGGAGCTTAGTACCTCAATCCATCAGCCAGACTTTTAGTCCCATGGGTCTCGAGTGGGCCCTTGAGCGCTTACATCCTTGTGCCAATCAGGAAGGGTATGTGAGGTTCTAAATGGTCCCTCTGTCTGTTTCAGTTACCTAGCTCAGTGCTGGAATGGCAGCTTCATTTACCGAATTATGCTGTGCCGCTTTCAGCGCAAAGCCCCTTCCACTTATAATGGTAACAGTAGCAACAGCTCTGAACCAGGGGAGATACCGACCTTGGAGTTAGGGGACCGAATTGCAAAAAAGGGGAAAAGAATAGGAAAGTTGAAGTTCATCTCCAAGCCTTCTGCCAGCAAGGCCACCAAAGAATCCAAGGTGGCCAGTGAGCTCAGCACTGAGCCGGAGAAGGGCCCCAACCGTGAAGTTGCAAATGGGCAAGACTTTCAAGTGAAAAATGGCATAGATTCTCTCAAGGAGGTGACTGGATCCCACCAAGAAAGGTCAAAAGTGGACAGAGTGACAGAGCACAGACTTCCAAAGACAGAAACTCCTCTGACCACAAGCAATGACAAATGCCACTTCTCAAAAGCTGGGAAGATCGACTTTCAATCGAGTAACTGCCTGGTACAGGTAAGATTTGGTTTGATTATAGAACCTGAATTTTTAACAAATATTGTTTGAGGTTGATTTACAGTTTTAAAAATGCATCTAAGATGACCTTACATTTGGGAAGCCAATAAATTCACTAAGATCAATGACCACAGAACAACCACAAAAACACTCCAGTCATTTCATCCCACGTGAATAAAGAGCAGGTCAAGTGATCTTAAGTGGAAAATTTAACCATTTTGTGGCAATCTTTGAGTCACCTGAGACCCAGATCAAGTACTTAGGTGCATCACCATTCAGCACTGTGGTCACCAGTGCAATTGCTGTTCCAAGACCAAGAATTCCTGGTGGTTATTGACAGCACAAACATCCTAGGTTCAGTATTACACAGGAAGGGAATTCAACAAGCATGAGGGCATTTGCTTCTTGATACCAGTTTAAAGTCAATTGCCTTTTCATGGGACCATGTTATTGCATGAGTGCATTTGGGGGACATTTAGAAGAGTCCCAGAATTCGCCAATACTATGAAATCCAGCTGGGATGGTCAAGGCTGGTCTTACCATACCTGCTTTGTCTTTTGGTATATTCTGAGTGGTGATGGTTGAGCTTCTAGTCTCGATGGTTTCTACCTTTATAAGCAACATTCTCTCAGGGGAGAGTTACATTTCTCTAAGGACAAAATGTTCATTCCAAGAATCCTCTTGGAAGATATTATGATGAGCTCCAAGTAGAGCAATCACTTCCTACGTAGGCACTGTTTGGTTTCTCTTCTGACCAGTTGACACTCTCTAGTGATGAAAGAGAAAGTTGGAAAGGTGGAAAATAAGCATGGAAATTTCAAGTTCAGCATTGCACATCAGACATGCCGCCCTAGGAGTGAATGTCATTTCTTGTCAGGTCAGAATGGACCACACATCTTCTCATGCAAGAGTATTTTTAGCACCATTTTTAACCTCAAAATTCTCTTTAAAAGATACATTTCTCCAGCATCCATAGAGTTGTCAAAAATTAAATCTTCACAGCTTTCTTCCACATCCTAGAGACATCCACCTTGGAACAAAGAGACCTCTATACAAGGATGCTTAGATTCTAGGGTTAGAGAGGATTATAAATTTTACTGCAGCTTAGATGAGCCTAAGGTCATGCTAAAATGAAATTTTCACAAAAGCAGAATTTAGCTGTTTAACTCTTATGCCTTTGGGAGAAAAAAAATTCATTCCATTTGATTAATGTGAGATTAAACATGGCAGTGTTGTTCTTTTTCTGCTTTCTTAATGATTTAGTATATCTGCAAGAACTCATAAATTTTGGAAAAAGCTTATATAATCATAGACAATTTTAGTTTGTTGAGTATATCTTTTTCATAAACTGTTATTTGTCTAAGGAAATAGTACATGAAAATAAATCCTCAGTCTCTTTCTTTCTAATCTGTTCTTCCTTAACAGAGCAATAGGAAACTTATTTTATTTTTAAAAAATAGCTTTTTAATTTTATGTCTATAAAATATAAGCATAGAATGATACATATACAATCAGATCCGTTATTAAAATTAAAAAGATAGATTCACTCTCTAAAGCATAAGACTCTCCAAGGACATAGACTAACTATTTTAGACATGAGTTCAGCATTTGTTATGACCATTCTAGCAAAGATATTTACTCACCCAATATGACAACATTTGCAAGTATGTATATGCATATATGTTTATTTTTGTAATGCTACATGTTTAAAAGGAATATAACCAACTGCAGTCACATAACAGAAATACTACTATTAGCCAGGTAGGTGAGTATATTCTCAACTGTCATGTGGACTTCTGTGAGGACTTCTGTGGTCTTACCTTAGTAATCGCAATCCACCCTTACTGTACCAGATCTTTTCCTATACCTTTTTCGTAAGTGGTTCATCACACCTCATTTAGGCTGTCCAAGATTTGAATCTACAGGAAAGAAGGAAAACTCAGAAGGAAAGTCACACTCAGGACATCATGCAGGTGGCCTCTGGTGTTTCCATCAATGAGAGGCAGCATGAAAACATTCTTCTCCAGCAAGCCCCTAAGGTCACTGGGTGAACTCACATTGACCTACGTGGTAACATCTCTTAAGACCTTGCTTGAGCCTTCACGTCTCTCTTGAGTCCCTGAGTTTTATACCAACTGCCTGCAGGATGTCTCCATCTTGAATAATTTATATCATGCCTAAACCCAGTGCATCACCAAATCCACTCCAGCATTGCAGGTCTCCTCTGGGAAGCCTATGTGACATTGCTACCACCTGTTCCACTGTTAGATATCTCCTCTTTGCGGTCCTGCAGGAGATGCTGCTTGTCTTCACTGACACACGAGCCCCACATAGTCTAACTACCATCTGGCTTAAGCAAATCACAATAAGTGTATGACAGTGTCAGATGGTGACAAGTACCATAAATGAAATAGATGGTGAAATGAAAGTTAGGTAGAAGCCTGGTTGATATTGGGTGTCAGTGAAGGAAGACCTTAGGAAGGAGGCAATGTTTGAACTGAGGACAACGTGTCAGGAAAAGGCAGCCCTGTAAAATCGGAGTGAAAAATGCTCCCAGGGATGAGCCTGCAAAGTCGGTTGCACTCAGGCAAGCATGATAGAATGTTCAAGAGCAAAGAGATCAAGCACTAGGAAATAATTCTGCTGGTGTGGACAGGGCTGGATTGCAAAGGTTCGTGTATGCCATCAGGGAGTTAGGACAGCTGGTGACCCTTCACATCGGAAGAGCAAAGTGTGTGACTATCTCACACTCCAATGCCTGCGGGAAAGAATGCCAGGGAATCCACTGGAATCCATACAAAGGACATTCAAGTTAGCCCTCCTCCAATGGGCAGTTGTCTGAGGGCCTAAACTGAGTATATCATGAAGATGATTTTTAAATACTCACCCTGGGGGTTCAATGAAGAATAATGGATTTCCAGAGGTAAGAATATACAGGGAGGCAAGATCGGAGGCTGTTGTGGTAACCCATGCTAAAGATGCTGGTGGCCTAGACAAGGGTGAAGTAGGGGACAGATAAGCAGATGTTGATGGAAGTGGGATCTATTTTGGAGGTAAAGTCAACAGATCTTGCTGATAGTTCAGATGTGAGAGATGAAATTGGATTAATCAAAGACAGCCCATGGGCTGTTGCCTTGTGTATAATCTTTAGGATGAGTGAGTGACAGTGCTATTCCCACTGAGATTGGAAAGCCAGGAGCAGGGAAGTCTACTTTGGTTTTACTGAAGTCTGTATTAGATGCCTAAGTGGAATTGTAAGGAAGCAGTTTAAGATATCCTTTGTATTGTTATCTTGAAGTTGGCCTGTTGGTTGGGAGCCGGTATCAGCTTTAGCCATACAAGCATCAGACACTGATTTTACGTTTTACTGAACATTGCCTTAACTAGAGCAGCTAATTTTAATACTGAAGTTGTATGACTCAAACTGATAACATCTGTTCCATCTATTAATATCTTTCTTTATATTTCTCTGACACAGGTGGAATCGCCTTGTAGACTTATTCGGCCGTCCGTCATTTCTGTCATTGGATTATACCATCAAAAAGGCAAGGTGAGCTCTTTTCTGTGGACTGTTCTTCTCTTCATGTTTAAGTGGATACTACTTGTTTTTCAATTTTTTGTTTTTATTATTCTTTGTTTCTACATGAAATAAGAAGTTACAGGTATAAGGAGGGCTAACTTGAGTGTCCTTTGTATGGATTCGAGTGGATTCACTAGCAGTTTTCCTGTAGGCCTTGGAGTGTGAGATAGTCACATTCCTAGCTCTTCCGATGTGAGTGGTCACCAGCACCTGGCTGCTAGGGCAGAATTGAGGGTGGAGTGAATGACCCCCAACTTTTAGCTCTGTTGAAAGAAAAACAGAACCTGCTGTTTCAGGGAGTACTCCCAATTGTCTTTCTGAGTGAATTTCATGTCATGACCATTAACGCACAGGGAATGATATGAATAACATTACATTATACAAATATAACAACAGAAAAACTGAAACAAAAGAAGAAAAGAAATATAGTGTCTGCATAGTGGGAAATGACTCTCATGAACTATTTACTTGATCCATATGAGACTGCCATTTTTGGAGGTCAAGGATTGTTTCCATATATATTGCCACCTAAATTTTTCTTCATTTATTTGCATTGCTATTGCAACGCAAATAGTTCTGAAGCAGGAATTGGAGAAGAAAGGTAAACTGGGATTTGGAGCTAATTGATTAGTTTAACTCTAAGCTTTTGGGGACAGTAGTTTCAGCTAAATGCTATGACAGAAAGGATGCACTCAGGTAAGTAAATAGTGCAATAGGAAGTACACCTTCAGTTAAATACTGCAGTGTCAACTGGAACTCCCATCTATTTGAATATAGAGACTTGGCTTTACCATTACTGGAGGGCGAGACTGCATTTGTGGACCCAGGGGGATTTTTGTCAAGACCATATTCCCACATGGATTAGCGGCAGAGGATGGAAGACTCAAAGAAGGTAGGAGAAAGACTCTCGGTTATCCCAAATGACAGGGACCTTTAATTCTACAAGAAGCTGCCTCTTCACAAGATGGAAAGAAAATAGAACGTTAGCTAGGGCCACAGACTGACCTAAGCTTAAACCCTTGTCCTCACATAGTTGATATAACCTGAGTTTCACTTTCCTAGGAACAGATGCTTGGAATATTAATGACTACTTTGAAGACTGACTGTGAGGATTACATGAGATAAAAATAAGATAATTACATAGGATAATATGTGAATAGTAGCTGAAATTTTTAGTGGGGTTTTTAAGTGTCTATTTTGTCTGCTTGGTCCTTAATCATGTTACTTGTCTTAAAATTTCTAGTAAGTTTCCAGCCCATTCTATCCTCAGGCCAGGTATGGAAACAGAATTCCTGATCATTGGGAAGATGATCATCAGGAGGGTGGTCATCAGGAAGACACAGTTCATATCTTGCAGTTGAAACTAATAATCACAGAATTTGTTTCCTAAATTTGCATTGTCTGTAGTAGCTACCATTTTGCCACATACAAATATACAAGACAAGTGCTTTTGAATACAAGTTAAAGTAATATTGAAGTCCCAAGTTTAACTTTGCAAATAAATTTTTTTAATGCTTAAACACAGCTTATAATTTTTCATGCTTTAAGCATTTACAACATTTCCACATATTTAAATCATTTCATTAACTGCATTACAACTCTTGTCCAGTAAGCATTGTGAGCAAAGTGGCACTCAGAAATGTTAAGTAACATGTCCCATCCTTAGTAAATAGCATAAGTAAATTTTAATTTTTTTAGGTGGATAATATGGTTTATTTGCAAAGTAAATTAGAGAAAGAAAGAGACACAGAGAGAGGTTCATCTACCAAAGTAGGGAAGGGGGACCAAAGCTAAGAACACATGGCAACCACAGCTCAAGGAACACATGGCCTGGTCAGTGCTTAACAAAACAATGGCCAGACCAGATTTCTGAACCAAGCCTGAGTCACTGCTCCACCTTACTACTGTTGCCGTGTTTAAAAACAAAATCATTGATTCAGAACTCATTCTTCCTTCTTGAACACATCATGATACTTGAAAAAATACAATTTAAATAAATCAATGTTTCCTTTATGTACCAACATAGTAATTACTTTTAATTCAAAGAATCTTAAATATATATTTGCATATCTATATATTTAAAATATGTATTAGGATTAAGATTATTTACTTTTATAAGGTAAAATTACCAACAAGTTCTGAACATATTTTAAATAACATTCACCAAAACATGAATCCTGATGTTTTTCTTCTCATTAATGTTTCCTTCATGAAATTACTAATTCTGAATATTTTTGGTTACCATCAAAAATGCTATAAGTGTTCAGTTCTAATGACCGATATATTGATGCTGTTATACTTTTTTTTAAGACAATAAGAATGAATTGACTATTTTTTAAGCATAACAACCAATGGAAGTCTCTATGCTAATGGTAAGACATGACCAGATTTAATACTTATATGGCAGAATGTTTATCTGTCTTTTAGCGGAAGTGTTAACTACTAGGTGGTATTCATGTGGCATTTCAGAAGAATGTAAAATACTAGCAGAGCATTTCCATAATGGATATTCCATGTGTTTACTTGATTGAAATCATTCTCCAAGACTGGCAAATGGAGCAAGATGGAAAAAAATACATTGTTAAGAAAGGTTAATAGCACTTGACTCTCTAAAAAACAGTCTCTTCATGTGTGTGCATTTACACAAAATATGTCATTGAATGAATTTTCAACTTGTTGAGTGATATGCCTTTTAAAAACTTTGTATACATTTTAGGAATGCAGCAGTCATTTGCTATTTGCTCCTTTGCCCATGTGGAAACTACCCCAAAATAAAAATATCCTCACCACACTAAGTAATTGGTTATTTCAGGTGATTTTTTAACAGAGGTCCCTTCACTTATTTTACAACTTTTGTAATTGCATTAAAGAGAAGGCATGAGCAGTCATCTACAGGATTCCTTTAATCATACATAGAGTGTGCTCCTGGGATGGCTATCTATAAGAGGTGGAAATCTGCGCTCTTACACTGTTTTGCACTTTGTTATAGGTGTATGACGCTCTCTTTCATACTGTACTGTTGTGCAGAGTTCGTGTGTTCTTCTCTCTGGGGCATCTTTATAGTATTTTTGATGAATTGTTATTCCAAAAAACCGTGCAGTTCACAAGAGTATAAACCAGAAACGAGCTCTGAGAAGTCAACAGGATGTCTAAGTTCGTTCGTAGTTCCAGCAGACACTATCGACAACTTGAAAAATGACCTGACTGCACCTTGTAGGGGCTAAAGATGATAGTCTAGCAGGTAGTGATGCGGGGGAGGTAAGGTATCCTGTGCATTCACTTGCCTCACGATTGGACATGACCCCGCTTTCATCTCTGAGATGGAAGCCTGTAGTAACTTGCCAGCTTCATGACAGTACCTGAAACCACATCCATAAGACCAGACATCTAGGCTATTTCAGAAGGTCGGGCTGCCATTTCTCAGCTATCTCAGCAGGTGTTTTTGTCGTTATCATTCAAACTATTTCCCATACACTGGAGTGATTCTCTGGGCTTGGGACGCTTGGATTTCTGAAAATGCAGGAGTGGCTTCTCAAATGTTGTATGTGTTCATGCTTCGTTGCCAGTGGACTTAAGCTTCCCAGCAATGACTGTGAGGAACATTTGGAGCTCGGTTCTTGCAATTCAATTTCTAAACAGAGGACATCTGTTGTCACACTTGGCAATGGTTAAAAAATAAGATTTTGATGCTTCCCAGAGTTGTTTTAATTGAAGACTAAAATGTAGAATTACTGTCAAAGAATTTGCATTGTCATGAATTGTCCCATTTAGCTAACCTAATTAAGTGGATTGGAACAATCAAAGTCATTTTAGAGAAGTAAAGCGGGGACCACTGTCCCGTTGTAGCACAGAAGGAGCAGTAAGAGTCCAGGGCATTAAAGGTGAAAGTTAATGTAATTCTCACATTTGATCACTAGGGGATGAAATCCTTTCTATAAACGAAACACCAATAAAGGGCTTGACTTTTCAAGAAGCCATTCAGACCTTGAAGGTAACATTCTGATGGATCTCCTTTACCCTATTTGTTTTTGGCTTTTATTTCCTTCTGGCTTGGGTTGGGCAAGATTTTCTGACCCTTTGATTTAAGGACTGTCTGAGTGTTTAGCCTACCTTCTCCCTTGTTTTCCAGCAAAACCGGAGAGGATTGTTTGTCTTAACCGTCAGCACAGAGTTGCTGAGCCCTGAACTCACAACCTCCTCAATAGCCACACACATGAACAGATCCAACTCCCTGAACTTCCTCAACAGTGGGGGAGCCTCTCTGGGAGGCTCTGATGAAGGTAGTTCTTCATTCCCAGGTCGGAAGACTCCTGGACCTAAGGACAGAATTGTCATGGAAGTAACACTCCACAAAGGTGATACAAACTGTTCCTCACTTTTCGTTGTATTTCTTGAATCACAATATGGAATCTGTTTCGAGGGTTACCTATGAATTTTTTTGGAACACTTTCCTATCAACAGCAGGTGATGTTCTCTACATGGATATTGGGATCAAAAGGAGAGATTTAGTCACTTTAGTCAAAGTGAGGAGAAGTCACCAATAGGAAAGATCACCCACGCTCTTCCCAGATGAATGACTGTATCGTAGGCTTATTTTTTAAAAAAATCCCTGACAAGCTGAAGTCTAGGACTATTATAAATGTTAGAGAGCAAAAGATACGAGTTAAGAATTAAGTTTACAGCAGAAACTGCAACCATTTGTGATCATCAAACCTTACTGCATTTCATCTTTGCTTGCATTTCCTCCCCACCTACTGTAGAAATCTGATGAAAAATAGCTAAGAGATGGGTTGTAAAATCAAGAGGCAAAAAAAGGCTTACTGTTGTAGATCCAGAATAAAAATGTTACTTACACTCTGCCTATTTCCAAAAACAGTTTTGTGGAGGTAGGTTAGACTAAGCAGAGAGCAGATCATTGAATCATTCCCATGTCCAGGGTTGGCGCCAGTCTAGCCATGAACTCATTTCCTGAGCCAAATGGCAACTTTACTCCAGAGAAGTGGGATTTGCTTTCTGAGGCTGGACCAAAAATAAAAGGGTATTTGTCAGAATATATATGATCCAGTTTCAAATCAGTAATACCTCTTCTTCTGGTTTCTGTGTAATTTTTTGTTTTGTTTTCTTGGAATGATGCCTCTCATAGAGCCAAGAATTGGATTAGGCATTGGCTCCTGCTGCTTGGCTCTAGAAAACAGCCCTCCAGGCATCTACATTCACAGTCTTGCCCCAGGATCAGTGGCCAAGTTGAGGAGCAACCTGAGGTTTGTTGTATATCTGATAGTGTGAGACTCTGGTGTGTTCAGGGTGATATGTGCTCTATTATGATCCACTGAGGGATGATAAAACTTGGAATTATTTCCATTCATACAGCCAAGACTCCATTCAATAGCATCTCCAAAAATGGAAATGCTAATCGAAATGAAATGTGGTTGAATTAGAGAACTACAGATCTTGGCTTGTGTTCTATCTGGACAAGATACACTCAGCTGTATATGGATATTGATGGTCACCTCAACATTTTCTTTCATTTTAGATTAATATATGTAAGATTCACATGAAAAACTGGGAGTGCTCATCATAATTCAGAATCACTGGACACAAGGGTCCTAAAATCATGCCCTTGAATGGAAGGCCTTTTCTTATTAAGTTCTCTTGAATATTTTCAGTTGCCTTCCTTCCTTTCTTGAATGGTGATGTCTAGGTGCCTATTGTCTGAATTCAGTGTCTGATTTTTAATCCAGATAGTTGAGCTGCAGCATGGATGTTCTGTTTATTCAGGAGTTGTCAAGGTGTTCTATTTAATAGCAACTGCAGTGGGTCGGTGACCACCTAAATGTCACAATAATGTACCCATATTGCACAAAGTACTTTGTCCAAACAGTATCACCTGTCCTACCTATAAGCTTCTAAGTCCTTTAGTGGTTGAGGCTTTGTCAAAAAAGGATGTGCTGAGGTTGCCATTTGGGACTCTGTTAATATATTACTGCTAATATATTACATTTTTTGGTAATCATCAGAGTGAATTTTCATATAAAAATTTAACGAATCAATCAAAATATACTTTTAGAACCCAAGGGGAAAAAGAGTCTTTTAATGACATCCCAAGATGATGTTTCTTTCTTGAGTGGTTCTATATGTCTGGAGCCTGACAAATGAACATTCTTCAGACTCCCTAGAAAGAGTGTTTGTTCACTCCTACTGAGTTCTCTCATTACAATTGCACACCAAAATGGACAGCTTGTCTCCAATTTCTTATGTTTTCACACTTGAAAAGTTTTAACAAATTATTGGGTAATCTTTGAGATACAGGTATTTCCTTCTTAAATTATAACACCATAATCATTTCAAGATGGTAGGAAGACAGCAACTGACAGTGGTGAGATGCTATATCGCATGGTGATTGAGAATCAGACAGAACTGAGTTATTTAAGCAGTGTACGACATCTGGGCGACCTCTCTGAGCCTATGGCCTTATCTACAACATGAGAATAATTAGACCTATTCAAAACATTTTTATATGGAATACCTTGTGTAGTTCTGGCATACAGTATGTGCCCAAGAAATGATAGCCTTTGTTATCCTACTTTTAAATTTTATTTGACTTTACTACTTCTGAAAATGCCAGCACATGATATAATGGCCTTTGTCAATGTAAAATCTCATGTGCTTCTATGAATGTGTTGCTTTATATTATGTAAGACAAGATGAGAAATATGCTTCTTTAAAGTATTCAGAAAGATTTTGTATGTAAACTTCTCCAAGAAGCGAAGCCTTTTTTGATCGTGTAGGAATCCTGCTGCTAACACTGAGTGTGAATTCTGTCGCCCTTCCTAGCCGTGGAGATCAAATCCTGGAAGTGAACTCGATCAATGTCCACTATGCCGTTTTAAGCAAGGTCCATACCATCTTGAGCCAGTGCCCTCCAGGACAGGTTCGCCTCGTCATCGGCCGGCACCCTAATCCAAAGGTAAAATATTTCTTCCTGTTCTAAGCATGGGAAGATACTATACATCCCTACACACTCTTTGGTGAGAAGGTCACCCAGCCTCTGGCTGGTGTGTATGGGAAATGAATCTTTGATCTGGACTTCATCTTTGCACTCTCAGATAATCGTATTTGAAAATTTGACAGTGTTATTTGGCACAATTGAAATTTTGTCTGCTGGCAGGTAGAAATACCAAGCTCTTAATACTGGCTGTTTGACCTCTGGCTAGACAATTAACTCCGCATTTCTGCTCCAAGAGAGTCTAAGCGCTTTGGGTTAGGTAATCTCTATGACCTTTTCAGTTTCAAGGTAAGAAAGCTTTTCTTGCCAGCTGGGGTACAGTGGCTCACACCTGTAATCCCAGCACTTTGGGAGGCCAAGGCGGAAGGACTGTGCGAGACAAGCCAAGGAAACTTAGTAGGACCTTATCTCAATGAAGAAGTAAAAATGTTAGCCAGGCGTGGTGGTGTGCACATCTGTAGTCCTATGTAATTGAGTGCTGAGGTAGGAAGATCTTTTGAGCCCAGAATGTTGAGGCTGTGGTGAGCTGTGTTCATGACACTACACTCCAGCAGGGGTAGCAGAGTCAGACCTCCAACTCAACACCCCCCCCACACAAAAAACAGAAAACTACAGTTTTTTTCCCCCCACATATTAGGAATTATCTCTTTTTTAAGTTTAATGCTAAGTAATTTTTGAAATAGGTTCAGTGAATTTAAAGTTTTCTTCAAGTAAGGAATGAGAGTGTGTCAATATTGAAATGGTACAAAATAAATGTTTTATAGTATTTGGAAGGATGGCTATTTAGAATTTAACATAGATTCACTTAAATTAGTGACTGTGTTTGCATTTTTATAGAATTTCTGGAGTGCAAGGTTTTTAAGATAACTCTAAAGGAAAAATAAATATCTTCAAATTTGAAGAGGGATATTTCCTTCCAGATTTTCAGTTAATTGTTTGTTAGGTCATAAATAATTTTTTATCTTATCTAATGACTATCTGACACAATTTAAATAAATGAGAATAAGATGAATTCTGGTTTGGTGTACCAATTGCCTATTTGCCAAAATCACTTATGGATTTTGCTTCCATAAAGTTGGAGGGGGATAAAGACCAGCATTTCAAATAAACTATCATGGAGAAGTTATTTGCTAAGTTTATTAAAAATTATGGAGGATCCAGTTTTCTTGTCTAAGAGACTAAATTTTTAAATCTATGCTAGGATCTTTTCCCTTAAGTACTCACACAAATGTTCTCAAATCTTCCTCAACATCATAAATAAATATTGAAATTCTCCCAACCAAGACATTTAGCTTATGTTCACATCTTGCAATGTTGGTTTTGCTTGTTTTGCTAAAGACACGTTCTGAATGTGGGAGTTCTTTCTTGGCTTTTCTAACGTGGCAGGCTCCATGGGAGAGAAAAGAAACCACATGGCATCCTGAGACAATGGGACATCCCAAACCACTGCAGCTCATCCCATTTTCTGGTTACGTAAATATCCATAGAGTCTTCTGTGGAGAATAAACCCAGAAATCATCTTTTCTTACTGGCACATTCTACACTGTAGGGAAGGAAGATCCTTCAAGTCTAATGTTAGCAGCCTACCATAGGTACCACCACATGAACCTGGTACTGAACAAAGAGGCAGAGCATCTGTGAGGAGGCACTGCAGGGAAATAGGGTTAAGTATGGAGATTGCAGAGCAGTCAGCCTACCAAGCATCAAGAAAGTGGGACAGAGGGCCTAGGAATTGTTTAGGAAACTATCAAACAGATCTTAATTGAAGGTTTGGATTGGCCTGGTTTCTTCCAAAATATCAGTATCGTGAAAGACAAAAGCAAGCTCTGGAACTGTTTCAGATTAAAGGAGACTAAACACCCGGGACAACTCAATTCTGGTTGCCAAAGCCATTTATTTTTTGAAGCATTACTGAGCAAAGAAGTTGGCTTATGGCAGTCTACCTCAGGTGCACAAAAGAAGTTCTTGAATCCAGAAGTTGAATCAATTACCTTACTGTGCACACCAATTGTTTCAGTCAATATTTTTGGTAACCACCCAAGACATCGTTCATGAAGACAGCAGTATGTGAGTTTGCATTCTGGAGGACGGTCCTTATCACAGGCTGTCATCAAATTTCAGTGAACTAGCTCTGACCTAAGGACACACTTTAAGTGCCACTTCAAAAGGAGTATTGGCACAGTTGACCAAATTGGAAGATGGCAAATGTATATTAAATAGCCATCAATGTTAAATTTCCCAAATTGAATAATATTATCATGGCTATTAAACAGGATGTCTTTATTTTTTTTAGAGATGCATGCTAAAATAGTTACTGGTGAATTGTCATTATATCTGCAACTTGATGTAGCAAAACACTTTAACTCGTCTTGTGTGTGTGTGTTTGCGTGTGTGTGTAGAGAGAGAAGATGTATGTAAATGTGACAAAATGAAAAAATTAAGGAATCTAGGTGAAGAATATGCTATTCTTGTATATTTTTACATGTTTTATGTAGGTTTAAAATTCTTTAAATTTTAAAAAAATATTAGATGTGAATATTCTAGAGCAGGGCAGCTATCAGTCACGTTTTTGGTCATCATAGAACCCAATGTTTTGCTTGATGAACTTGGCACCGATTGAAGGTCTTGTTATGTCTGCATTGTTAGAAACAATCCATAAGCCAGCTGTCCTGCTTACGTGCCCTGAGTTACTGCTTCAGAGGACGGTCATGATCTTTGACTCTGTGATTGCCCTTTTATCTGCACTCAACTCAGACTCTGGTCCTAGCTACTTTTATTGGGAGGAAATAAATAAACACGTCCATCTAATTCATGCTTTCTACTAAAAACAGGTTTCCGAGAAGGAAATGGATGAAGCAATAGCACGCAGCACTACCCAGGAGATCAAGGAGGCCAATTCTTCTGGCTTAGGTACTGTAATTGCACATCTTCATTCAACATTCAGAAGAGTTTCTCGTGAAATTCACTCGTGGAGCACTCTCCAGGGCAATATTATTTGATTCTTAGCCATTCTCAGGTTTTGCAAAAGTAAGTGCCAAAGATAATCTATACTTTCTCTTGGCTGCTACTTTTGATTTCTGTGATTATTTAATGTGCTTAGTTAAAGATTTAATAATGCATGATTCTGTTATGACTTCCAGACAATTTGCAAGAGAAATTTGGAAGCATTTTGTGTATTGATACATGTATTGACACATGGGTACTGATTACCAGTTAAAAGGAAGACATAGAGTTTTTGGCAGTCATGAAATATCCTAACTATTTGCACTGATAATTAATATATTTAAAAGAGTCATGGACATAATAGTCTCTTTATTCAACCAGTTCATTATTCTGACCTGCCTGAAGGCTGTGCTCACATAATTCCAGTCTTTATACTCAATTATTATATAAGAGTGTCTTAAGCCATGATCCTCCTATCAACCCAGTGGCCTTTGCTCACATGTCTTGATCCTCATATCCATGGTCTCTATTGCTCATGCCATGGAGTTTAAATCCTGAGACTTTGCATTCTTCAGTAAAAGCTAAAATAGTTATTCAATCCTCTCCTAGTTCTGTTTATTGTTTTCTTGTTAGGTGGGTTTTTTTTTTCATTCTTTAATCCTTTTATCAAATATCCCTGAGCACTTAGTACTTTCCAGGTATGGTACCCAGCACTGTTGACTCATACCAGTAAACATCTCATCCCATTTATTATTAAAAAATTGAGGAAGGGAGACGAGATACATCCCCTCTAATTAAACTTCACTGCATCTATAGAAATGGATGTGTGGCTACCAATAAATACTTTGAAAATTGAGAAGAATTTACTTCCACTGGGGTCATCAAGTAAGTAGTAGTATCTGTGAGGGCTTAAAGCATCAGCAGACTCTTGACAGGAGAGGAGAATTAGGATTGGGTACCAGGTAGACTGCATGTATGTCAGCACCTGTACACACATCCATCGGTGCCTGCCAATCAAAGGGAGTTTTGTTGAATATGCTTGGCACCACCCTTTCTTTAAAAACGCAAGCCTATTTGTGATATGAACTCCAATGTTTGACAATATAGTGAATTTTTCCAAGCAGGTTCCCCATCGAAGAGTGCCTCTTTTGCAAAAAGGGTGAGTCAAGATGCACTATTGCCTACCACTCTTAGTAGGACCACACACTGATTCCAGGAGCCTCCAGGTCAAACCTGAAGACCCAGTTTCTGTTTCTATCCATGAGTCGTTTTTGCTACTAAACAGCAGCATCACTTATTGAAGAACAAATGCACAGATGTGTGTTTTGTTTGTTGAATATTCATTCAGGAAAACACTAGAGCAACGCAATTAGAAAACTGATCTAGAGTTGGCAAAATAACTTTTCAAACTGCTTCACAATCAAGCAGCTCTTCTTGGTTCTGGCAACTTTAAGGAGACTGTGGAATCATCCTCAGCTAGGCTCACCTATGTCCCAATGGATCAGGGTGCATGATTCAGGCTCTCCTAGTTGTTTTTCCTCAGTTGGCCTGACAAGTTGTCTTGTAACTGCTCTCTTCTTTCCTATCACGTCCCCAAATCTTTTGCTAGGATAGCTGATCTGCTGCTGTGGCTTTTCTGATAATTGCCAAGTTATGGCCCCCAAACTCTTGGAAAACATTATGCGGCAGCAGCCACTTTGTTAGTCATCAATTGACATTGTAACCTTTACTATCTCAGCTGTTTGGAATGGTCATGGATTAGAACAAAGTGTTCTTGGAAAGGCAGGATGCAATTGCCCTTTAAAATCTGCTTCTGGTGTGTCTTCCTAGTCCTCTGTCATTTTCTTCTTCAAGAGGATTCCCCTGTTTCTGAATCTGATCTCTCCCCGTACTTCATCCACGATGTTCCTGGCCTCTTGTCAGACTTGATGGCAACTGACTCTGAGGACGAGGATTGCTCAGGAAGTGGCTGCAGCATATCACAGACAGCAGACTGCCTTCCTACACCTCTGGTATGCAAGAGAGTCCTGGAATGCCCTGTGCTTTGCATTCCAGTAAGCAGTGACAAATTTCCACCTCCATGCTGGAAGCCACATTGGCTCAACTATCCTGGTGTTATACCATGAAAAAAAATACTGGAAAATATGCCTCTGGTTGAGCAGGAGCCATCCTTATACACTAAAAACAGAGTTTACTTGTGGAAAACAGCCACTGTCAATGACTGGTCACTCAAGTATGCAGTAAATGGGTTGGCTCACACATTCTACACCCAGGGGTTAATAGTGACTAAAACAGACCCTCTCATTTCCTAGAAGTTCTAGACCTGCTGAGGAACATAATAGGACCTTGATGCTACCAAAAAAAATATCAAAGTATTAGCCTGGTTTGATGTCATACCCTGTAGTCCCAGTTACTCAGTATGCTGAGTGAGGTGGGAGGATCTCTTGAGCCCAAGTGGTTGAGGTTGGAGTGAGCCATGATCATATCACCACTCTTAAGTCTGGGAGGATTGGGGAAAAAATGATAGTTTTATGTGACAGATGTAGGTAGGCACATTTCTCAGACCCAGAACTTTCATGTGACTGGGTTTTTTCATTCCAACCTTAGACTCATAGTTCCTAAGAAAAATAGCTGTTCCTTCTTATACCAGTACCTGAGAAAACAGCTTGTTATTTTTTATGCCAGTTTATTTCTTCCTTTTGTAAGATGCTGTGTGTCAGAGGTGGAGAGATTGGCCAAGATTATGCAGAGCCTTATTAAGAGACACCTCCACAACAGAGTGAATTTGGCCCTCATCTCCTTGATAAGTTTGTTTCCCATTATCCTCTGAAACACAAATCTTTTTTCGCCCTGCCCCTCTGAGCATTCATGCTGTTTCTCCTGTCTCGGCTTTCCTTCCTTTGCTGCCTTCTTTTTTTTTAATTGGCATATAATAAGTGTACAGATTTTGGAGTTACAAATGTTGTTGTAATGCATGTGTATGTTGTGTAATGATCAAATTAGCTTATTTGTCACCTCAAATATTTATCATTTCCTTAAGGTGTGACCATTCAAAATCCTCACTTTCTGCTATTTGGAGAAATGCAATACCTTATTGTTGACTAGAGTCACCTACAGTGAAATAGAGCAGCAGAATTTATTCTTCCTGTTTAACTTTTTAAAGTTTGAGTCAGCATCTCACATTGTCACCCAGACTGGAGTGTAGTAGTACACTCACAGCCAGTGCAGCCTCCACCTGCTGGGCCCACGTGATCCTTCTGCCTCAGTCTTTCAAGCAGCTGGAAGTACAGGTGCACAGCACCATGCCCAGCAGATTTTTTGGTTTATTGTATAGACGGGGTCTTGCCAAGTTACCCAAGTTGGTCTCGAACCCCTGGGCTCAGGTAATCCTTTTGTCTCCGCCTCTCAAACTGCTGAGAGTCCAGCCATGAGCCAACATACCTGATGGAACTTTAATTTTGTACCCTTTGAACCACCTCTCCTAATCCTCTCCTCTCCTCCTCTTCCCGTCTTCTTGGAACCAACATTCCAATCTCTGCTTCTATGAGATCAACTTTGTTATATTTTGGATATGACTGACATCATGTGGTATTTGTCTCTGTGTGACTAGCAGATTTCATTGAGCATAATGTCTTCCAGGTTCACCCATGATCTCACAAATGACAGGGCTTCATTCTTTGTTGTGGCTGGGTAGTGTTCCATTGTGTGTATATACCACATGTTCTATATCCATTCATCCATTGATGGACACTTGGGTTGGTTCCATGTCTTGGCTATTGTTAATAGTGCTGCAGTAAACATGGAGGTACAGACAGCTCTTCGACATACTGACGTCATTTCCTCTTGTTGTATACCCAGTAGTGGGATTGCTGAATCCTATGGTAGTTCCATTTTGAATGTTTTTGCCAACCTCCATACTGTTTTCCATACTGGTTGTGCTAGTTTACATCCCAGCCACTGTATGTAGGGTTCCCTTCTCTCCACATCCTTGCCAACACATGGCATCCTTGATCTTGTCGATTATGGTCATTCTACCTGGAGTGGAATGGCATCTCTTGGTGGTTGTGATTTGCATATCTCGATGATTAGTGATGCTGAACATTCTTTATATACCTGTTGGCATTTGCATTTCTTCTTCTTCTTCTGTTTTTTTTTTTTTTGAGCTGCATTCTCACTCTTGTCGTCCAAGCTGGAGTGCAGTGGCATGCTCATGGCCACTGCAGTCTCAAACTGTTGGGTTTAGGTGATCTTTCCACCTGAACCCTCTAAGGAGCTGGAACTATACACACACATCACCATGCCTGAGAGCTAGTTTTTGTAATTTATTGTAGAGATGGGGTCTCACCAATTGCCCAGTCTAGACTCGAACTGCCAGGTTCAGGCAACCCTCTCGGCTCGGCCTCCCAAAGTGCTGGGAATACAGGCTGAGCCACACTGCCAGGCCTGCATATATTTTTTGACAAATATCTTTTAAGGTCTTTTGCCCAGTTTTAACTGGATCATTTCTTGGTTTTGGTTTGTTTGTTGTTGTTTTTGTTTGTTTGCTATAAAATTGTTTGAGTTCCATATATATTCAGGGTATTAAACTTTTATCAGATGTATACTTAGCAAAAATTTTCTCCCATTCTGTAGGATGCCTCTTCATTTTATTGTTTCCTTCTGTAAGATGCCTCTTCATTTTATTGCTCTGAAGAAAGAAGCTTTTAAGTTTGATGAAATCCCATTTATCTCTTTTTGCTTTTATTGACTGTGGTTTTGAAGTTTTATCCAAAAGTTTTTGCCTGGTCAAATGTTATAAAGTGCTTCCCTTATGTTTTCATCAAATAGCTTCATAGTTTCTGATCTTACATTTAAGTCTGTAATTCATTGTGAATTTTCTTTTGTATGTGGTGAGATATGTGGTGAGAAATGGGAATCCAGTTTCATTCTTCTGCATGTGGATCTCCAACTTTCTCAGTACAATTTATTGAAGAGACTTTTCTTTCTCCGGTGTGTGTTCTTGGTACCTTGGTGAAAAATCGGTTGCCATAGATGTATAGATTTATTTTTGGGCTCTCTATTCTGTTTCATTGGTCTATGTATCTGGTTTTATGTAAGTACTATACTATTTTTGCTTACTATAACTTTCTATTATAATTTGAAGTGAGGTAATGTGATGCTACTAACTTTGGTTTTATTTTGGGGGTTCTTTTTTCTGTTTCTTTTTTCTCTCTCTCTCCAGATTGCCTTGGCTATTCAGAGTCTTTTCTAGTTCCATACTAATTTAAAGATTGCTTTTGCTATTTCTATGAAGACTGTCATTGGAATGTTAATGGGGTTTCTTAGAATCTTTAGATCGCTTTGGGTAGTGCAAACATTTTTACAATATGAATTCTTTTGTTGTCTTCATCGCCTTCCTCCTCACCACACTCTGGCCAAACTATCCCTTGGAAACTCCACTCACGTCTCCACATTCTCGCCAAGTCCACAAAGACAATCTTGGCTTTCCGCTTTCCCTCTCTTCCAACATCATCAATTCAGAGCTAGAGATCGATGGAGACTTGTATCTTGGTGGAAATATTCTTTACGTTTGCCCCAGTTAGTCTCAGCTCCTTTGCTAAAAAGGAAGTCTCTTAAGTTCGGTGCTTGGACCATTTTAGACTGCATGATGTCCACAACTTCCCACAGCCTGAGGATAAACCACATGGGACTGAGGGAGATGTGAGATCTCCCCCCAAGCCACACCAAGCCAAGGGGTAAAACAGAACAACAGTCTGGCTCTTGCAGCTTTTTCTATAAAGAGTGGATTGCAGACTGAAACCCAAGGAAATGACTTCTGGGATTCCCCATCCATAAAAAAAATAAAGAGAGGAAAATGGGCAGGCCACACAAATGTTCATTTTATCAGCTAGTCTGAGTTATTTGAGAGCATCTAAAGCAGGTTAGTATTAGTTAGATGTGGGTACTCTCTAATTTAAGAGACAAAAGCAAAGACAAGAAGTTACACATTCAGGCTGCAGAATGTCTTCCTGTAAAAGAAAAAAATATGAAGGTGGTTTACAGTTTTGCAATTTCTCACAATTGAGAGATTTTTCTGTCTACTGTCCCTTTTATTTCCCCTACAATCTCACCTTTTACTTCCATTTTTCACACAGGGCTGGAGAGATCCCCCTATACTCTCCCTTCATCAAGGAAGAAGGGGGCCATTCATCCTGATCCCTGCACCACCTTGGAAGATGCAGGACAAGGCAGTCAGCCCGAGCACCCCAGCCAGCCACCCAGGCTCTCCGAGTCCAAGCTCATATTTTCTGATACACATGCCCAGGGGAGAAGAAAGCAGTTCATCCCGACTGCAGCAAAAGTCTGGTAGCTTCAGAAGACAGCTGGCCCAGCAGCACTGGTTCTCAAAACTTGCCTCTCTCAGTCTATGACCATATAACCCTTCATGCCTGATCTTGGAAGATAAGCATGGTCTGGCCTGCTTAGTACTTGGAGGAGAGAACTTGCCTCTCTCAGCCGATATTTGTTAGCAGTTAGAATTGAGCCTGCTTTCTCAAATTTATGAACCGTTTAAATTTTAGTTGTTGATTTCCTCTGCCCAAATTCTCTTTGTTGTGTTGTTAATTTGTTGTTCTATAGTTTGGATATTAATCCTTTGTTGATTAAACATGTTGATAGTATCCTCCCCGTATTAGTTGCTTGTTTTTATCTTGCTTGAGGCGGGGAGTGGGGACATTAGAGTTGAAATTGTTGATGGAGTCCAATTTACTTTAAAGTATATATGCCTTTTAGGAAACATCTTCCCATCCTAAGAACATGGGCATATATACCATGCAGAGATTTTTCTTGTTTAAGTTTTTAGTTTACTTGGCGTTTTCTGACCCCATGAAAGTGTCAACCATTATTAATTCTCCCCAGTGCAGTGGTGCTGCTGAACAAGCTGGAGTATCAAATCTGGAAACCCTGACAGGGTTCCTGCACTTCGAAGCCTGGAATATTATGATCTTTGTCTAAGAAGGACCTATGAAATTAGTAATTAGAAAGCACATGAAATCTTTATGAATTCTAACAAGAATCTCCTCCTCTCAGTTCCCTGCATTCTTACTTCAGCAAATCACAATGACTTCTTTAGACCACAGGTTCTTGAAACAACCAACACTGGCATAGACAAGGACTACAAAAATCCCCCCTTTGTATTCACACACGTTGCTGGACTCACTGCAAGTGCAGCAGTAATGAAGCTGAACTCTGGAAGCCTTCCAGCTGGAGTACCCAGGCAGAGAGGTTTCCTCTTGTTCAAGTGCTTGTCCCCTGGCTTCATGATTGTTCATTGGGATACAATACATGACATACCCTTCTTCATCTGAAACACTTCAGTGACCTTTGCATCCCTATCACCAGCTCTTCCAATGTACCCAATTCTAGTGATTAGGGAACCTACAAAGTCTGAGGGTGACATATATGTCACCACTAAATGGTTTTATCTAACTTTGTAGGTAAATGACATAGTACTTTTAGGCACATTCATGGAAGGAGGACCAGTAGGTTTGGTATACTACCCTAAAAGAGAATGAGACTTAAAAAATGAAGGAATTTTTTTTTTTGAGTTGGAGTCTCACTCTGTCACCCAGACTGGAGTGCAGTGGCCGCTCCCGGCCACCACAGCCTTGACCTGCTAGGATCCGGCGATCCTTCCGCCTCAGCCTTCCAAGTAACCAGAATTACAGGCATGCGCTACCAAGTCCGGCTGATTTTTTGATTTATTGTAGAGATGAGGTCTCGCTGCCCAGGCGGGTCTCGAACCTGCGGGTTCAGGTAATCCACTCACCTCAGCCTCCCAAAGGCGCGGGATTAAAGGTTGAGCCACCGAGCCCGGCTTCTTACTCTACTATGTTACAGTAATGGTCTAATTATTTCATTGCCTAGATTACTTAAGAAGGAAATATCTATCTATGAGTAATGAGAATAACATAACAAAGAGAGGGCCACTATGATATTATAGATCTGGACTTGAAAACTAGTTGCACTGCTTTTCTAATAGCCAATGGAGTTTTTAATATTAATGAAGTTTCTAAACTTAAATGGAGTTCTATTATTAAAATGAGGCTGCTGATCACTCATGAAGGTGTCTGGCAGAGTGCCTGCCACAAGAATTCACCAAGTAGGAGCTCTCATTATTATGGTGATTTGTGCCTATCCCTTATCTCAGTCCTGCCTCTACCACTTTTGGTATTCCTCCCCCAACCCACATGCACAAATCTCTTTGTGCTGAAGAATGAGAAGTGGAATCTGACACCAAAAGCGACTGGCTTCTTCCACCTGAACATCATTGTCCACCCTGACTTTCTGCTTCCCCCATGTCCTCAGTTTTTCCAGACTTTTAAAATGTCAACTTAGTTAAGTACTCTCTTTTGCACTTCATATTCATGGAATTTCTTCAAAATTAAAAAATACCTGCTGAAGCTCTGCTTCAGTTGCAAAATGACCGCATTATACAGAAAGGCAAACTCTTTCTATCGCCAATTCAATAGTAATCAAAGTACCAGTGCACAAACACATGGACCTTAAACTTGTTCTATCGTTTGTAAAATTCATTTAATTGTGTAGTACTAATTCTGTCACTAACTAACTATGTGATTTTGGTCAAGTTATTTCCTCTCACAGCTTCAGTTTATTAGTGTGAAAAAAGTACACTATCCTAAGTGGCTCAAGCTTGTGTCCTATAATATAATTTGGGAGCCTAAGTACTTTGTGTTTAAAATTACTCCACTTAGCCAGGCTCTGTGGCTCAGCCTGTAATCCCACGCTTTGGGAGACTGAGGTGAGTGGATTGCCTGAGCCCGCAGGTTCGAGACCCGCCTGGGCATCTTGGTGAGACCTCATCTCTACAATAAATCAAAAAAAAAAAAAATCAGCCAGGCATAGTAGCGCGTGACTGTAATCCCGGCTACTCGAAAGGCTGAGGCGGAAGTATCGCCAGAGCCCAGCAGATCAAGGCTGCAGTGGCCAGGAGCAGTCACTGTACTCCAGTCTGGGCAACAGAGTGAGACTCCAACTCAGTAAACAAACAAACAAACTAACTAACTAATAAATAAATAAATAGCATTACTCCACTTCCTCAATATCCCCTTTAAAAATCTGTTAAAGCATATTAGTTAAAGAGGATTAGGGAGATTGGGGATTTGTAGCATCTGTAACCTGACACTAAACCTACAAAGCAAGCTTATACCAGACTATCAGCGGAATTTCTAAAACTATAATACCGCGTTTATGGTAAGTTCCTGCTATGCCACTTTTGAATCAAAGCAACACAGCCAATAATGTGTTTAAGGCTTGAAGATCTACACTGAGATGCATTAAAATGGTAGAATTCAAGCTGAGAGAGAAATGTCTTGAGTACTCAAATAGAAACACGTTGTGCAAAATGTAGTCAATAAGAAAAAGAGCCAGATCAAACGTTCCTTAAGCATCTGGCCCCCTCTCCAATCTTTTTCTCTGATCTACTTTTAAAATAAACTTTCCTTTCTAATCTAAAAAAATAGAAAGGAAGAATAATATAGGCAGATACAGATTGCCTCCTAACCTATATTGTGGACTCCAAATACTATTTTCTCCTATAGAGAGTGAGGATTCCTTGAAAGTGCGGCCTTGCAGGGTAATACTCTGAAAACTGCCACAGCTCTCCTCCGGGAAAACAAAGTCAGCCAATAGAGGGTGCAGAGTTTCTGCTTCATGGCAGAGTCTAGTTTACCTGCATTTGTGTTTACAAGGTCGCTCTCCATATGGTAACCATGACTTTTGGAAAAGTAGCACCAGGGAACACATAGCTCCCTGAGGATTTTAGCAGCAGCCCCGCAGGTCACACGTGACCTGAAACAAGAGGTTAGTCAAAGGAAGCCTATTACCTGATAGAACATTATCATTTATAAAGCACAAAACATCTCATTTCAGATTGTGACATCAATAACTTCATTTTACAAAGAAGGGAACTGACATTTAGAGAAGTTGTGCTATGTCCTACAACCAATTTTTCTGGCCAGTGTCCTTCCTATGCAGCAATATGGTAAGTACAAAGTAATCCAAGTCTTTCATTATAATAAAATATATAAATATAGATTAATACCCTAAACTATAACAGTTATGTCATGAGGAATTCGAAATTACAAATGGAGCTTCATTAATATTAGCCTTGACTTTCAAAAATAAAATAGACTTTGCAATCAACTTATTCAGAAGCTATTAAATCAAGCATTTTGCTTTGACGTTGATTTATTTATTTATTCATTTAGAGTGAGGGTCTCAATCTGCCACCCAGGCTGGAGTAGTGGCACAGACCTGGCTCGCTGTAGTCTCAACCTCCTGGACTCAGGTGATCCTTCCACCTCAGCTTTCTGAGTAGCTGCAATTACAGACATGCACCACCATGCCCAATACTTTTTAAAATTTTTTTGTAGTGATTATACCTTGCTGTGTTGCCTATGTTGATCTGAAACTCCTGCGCTCAAGCAATCCTCCTGGCTCAGTCATCCTAAGTGCTGGGATTATAGGCCTGATCCACCAAGCATGGCCTATTTTGGCTTTTAAATTTATGTGTTACATGTGTATATGTATTACACATATATGACATGTATACAGTTTCTCAACTCCTCCTAAGGCAGAAAATCATCTTTCCTTGACACTCACATTCTAATTCTCACTTAAGAAAAGTACTGCTTTATACCACAATGAATGAATGACTCAAGTGGAAACTAAAATGAATGTAATTCCTTTCTTACACCAACTAACTTAGGAGAATCAACCAGGTTAAATACAAAAAAGTTCAAATAAATCTCTCCTCTTGAGTGCTGACTGGACCTAGTGACTTGCAACTTACTGAAACTAGAGAAAACATTGGGATGTTGCTTCCAAGATTAAATCACAGAATGATTGTGACTTCTGTCTTGCTGACTCTCTTACTTTTCCTGTCGGAGTCCTTGCTGGGGAAAAGCAAGTTGTCATATCGTGGAAGGGTGCACATGGCAAGGAACTGAGGGAGGTCTCTGGTTAGCAGCCAGCAAGTAACTGAAGTCCTCAATTCAGTTACACATGAGGAGCTGAATCCTGCATTATTGCATGAGTGAACTTGGAAAGGATCATCCACAGTCCTGGCAGGCATCTTGTTTGCAGCCTTCTGAGCAATTTGAAGTCAAAGGTACCTAGCAAAGCCCAGACCAGTTTTCTGACTAGAAGAACTCTAAAAAATAATATGTGCTATGTGAAACCATTAAATGTTGAGATAATCTGCTATACAGCAATAGATAACTAACACTTCTTGCCAGATCATTTCACAGATGAAGAAACTGAGGTCCATAGAGGTAAAGTGACCTGCCAAAGATGACTTAGCTATTAAGAAGACAAGACCAAAACTTAGTTCTTGGACTATCCAGTTATT